CTTTCACATTTCCCAGGAGACTCGAGAAACCTGGGTGGTGCAGGGGTTAAGGCGCTTGGCTGCAAACGGGAAGGTTAGGTCAGTAGTTCGAGCCCACCAGATGCTACTCAGAAGAAAGATGCGGCAGTCTGCTCCCCCAGGAAGGCTTTACCGCCTCAGGAAACTTGCGGGGCGTTCTGCTCGTCCTGCAGTCACCAGGAGTTGGGATTGACATGGCAGCAGTGGGCTGTGCCAGAGAGCGAGCTGTAGCGTGTAGGGTAGGCTCGTAGTAACCACCCAAATGGCGGTTGCGTGCATGTGTGCAGTGTGGGGAGGTGGGGAATGGTGCCTAAAGGAAGGGTCTGGGCTGTGTTCTGGGCTATGGACACACTCTGACATGAATGGCCGCACAACTCTGAGCACATGACAAGCCGTTGACGTGTACACTTCCTAAAGCTATACTGTGTGGCCACAGGCATGTCTCAGTAAAGCCAACAAAGATGAGCTACTTACAATGTTCAGCAGAGTGGTCTGGGCTGCCCCGTGCGGCCACAGGCTGGCAGGGCTCTGCCGGACACCCACCTGTGCCCGCCTTTCTCCAGGAACCGTAACGAGCGCTACCGAGCCGGCATTCCTCCAGGCCTACCGATTCGATGACGTGATGTTTCCCAAGAATGCCAGGTGTCCCACCTGTGACCTACGGAAGCCAGCTCGCTCCAAGCACTGCAGTAAGTGTGGCCCTCCCTGCCCCTCCCACAATGGACCCCGAGGGTTTAGTCTGTAAGGGAACATTCCAGAAACGGTAAAGCAAAGCCATTTGTCTCCCAGAGGAGGGCAGGGGGAGGCTGGGCAGTGGTTTCTTTTGGGTGATGGAGGTGAAGTCAGTTCTGGTGTCAGCGGGTGACCCTTGGGCCTGGCCACAACGGCCCTGCCTTTGCCACATGGCAGGGCTGGCTGTCTGCCGACCAGTCCTGGTGCAGCCCTGTCTTTGAGGCAGGGCTGCTCAGAATCGGAGGCTAGTGTTGTCCGCCAGAAGAGGGGGAGTGGGTACTGATACTCACTCACTGCCATTGAGCTGATCCTGAGTCACAGTGACCCTCCCGTTGACCTTGTGGTTAGTATCCCACCATGTAACCCAAAAGTACAAAGAGCCAGGTAGCATGAGTGTTGCAATATCTTTTACTTAACTCCAAACCCAAACCACTACTAGTGAGTCCATTCCGACTCTTGGTGACCCTACAGGACAGGGAAGTGCTGCCCCGTAGGCTTCTCCATGCTGTAAATCTTTATGGAAGCAGACTGCCACCTCTTCCTCCCATGAGCAGCTCGTGAGCTTCCAGGGACCACCTGCCCCACCCACAGTCCTTGATGGGTTCTGACTCCCAACAGACCTAGAAACAAATCTCACGACCATCGAGTTGACTAGAAGGCATCGTGACCCTATAGGACAGGGTAGAACTGTCCCGAGTTTCTAAGACTGTAACTCTTTACAGGAGTAGACAGCCCCTCATCCTGTGGGTTCAAACTGCTGACTTTTGGGTTAGCAGCCCAAAGTATAACCCGTGACACCACCAGGGCTCCTCCTAGGTTGATGAGCAACCCTAACACCCCCAAAGACGAGGCTTTCTGCTGCCGGAAAGAATGACAGTCTTGGAAATGCTGCCCTGTGAGGTAGTTGAGTTCAGCTTTTTGGTTCAAGGCAGCAGCAAGCATCACAGCTTCGTGACTGCAGCCGCCTTTTCCCCGGCAAGTGCGTGGAGGTCCCCCCAGGTGTGCACTGGGCCCTTGCCCCCTCCAGGGCCGATGCCAGTGCACTCCCCCGCCTCCGTGCAGGGGTGTGTAACAGGTGTGTGCACCGCTTCGACCATCACTGCATTTGGATGAACAACTGTATCGGGGCCTGGAACGTGCGGTACTTCCTCATCTACCTCTCGACGCTGACGGCCTCCGCGACCACCGTGGCCGGCCTAAGTGCCGCCTTCCTGGTCCAGGTGGTGATCTTCTCGGATCTCTACCTGGAGACTTACACTGACGAGCGTGGGCAGCCCCAGGTGGTCGACGTCATCTTCCTTGCGCAGGTAATTGGGCCGAGGTGCAGATGTGTCCGGCTTGAGGTGTCCAAACCAAGCCATGTCACCCACTGCCAGCCAGCCCGCTTCGACCCACAGCCACCCTCCAGGTAGAGGAGACCTACTCCTTAGGGCTTCTCAGACAGGAAGGCGCATCTCTTCTATTTATTTAGGAATACAGTCCTTTATATATTCTGACTGCCAGGCCCACTGTATTGGATATGTGCTTTGCAAATATTTTTTCCCAGTCTGACTTGCCTTTACATTGTTTTGTTTTAAGGTTTAGTGGGAATTAGGTGGTGGCATACATTGCAGATCATGGTTCATTGTTTTTGCCTCCAACAAAATAAACAACTTTCAACCCTCCTGGAAGGCTTACCCCAGTCCCACCTCTCCCAGTGCCCTTCCGGCCTGCCGGCCAGCAACCC